ATTAATAAAGACCAGCCTTGTCTATTCATAAAGACCAGCCTTGTCTAATGATAAAGACCAGCCTTGTCTATTCATAAAGACCAGCCTTGTCTATTGATAAAGACCAGCCTTGTCTATTGATAAAGACCAGCCTTGTCTATTGGTGAAGACAGCCTTGTCTATTGATAAAGACTAGCCTTTTCTATTGGTGAAGACAGCCTTGTCTATTGATAAAGACCAGCCTTGTCTATTGATAAAGACCAGCCTTGTCTATTGATGAAGACCAGCCTTGTCTATCGACGAAGACCAGCCTTGTCTATTGATAAAGACCAGCCTTGTCTATTGATAAAGACCAGCCTTGTCTATTGATGAAGACCAGCCTTGTCTATTGATAAAGACCAGCCTTGTCTATTTAAAAAGACCAGCCTTGTCTATTGATAAAGACCAGCCTTGTCTATTGACGAAGTCCAGCCTTGTCTATTGATAAAGACCTGCCTTGTCTATTGATAAAGACCAGCCTTGTCTAATGATAAAGACCAACCTTGTCTATTGGTGAAGACAGCCTTGTCTATTGATAAAGACCAGCCTTGTCTATTGGTGAAGACAGCCTTGTCTATTGATAAAGACTAACCTTGTCTATTGATAAAGACCAGCCTTGTCTATTGATGAAGACCAGCCTTGTCTATTGACGAAGACCAGCCTTGTCTATTGATAAAGACCAACCTTGTCTATTGATAAAGACCAGCCTTGTCTATTGAAAAAGACCAGCCTTGTCTATTGATAAAGACTAACCTTGTCTATTGATAAAGACCAGCCTTGTCTATTGATGAAGACCAGCCTTGTCTATTGACGAAGACCAGCCTTGTCTATTGATAAAGACCAGCCTTGTCTATTCATAAAGACCAGCCTTGTCTATTGATAAAGACCAGCCTTGTCTATTGATAAAGACCAGCCTTGTCTATTGATGAAGACCAGCCTTGTCTATTGACGAAGACCAGCCTTGTCTATTGATAAAGACCAGCCTTGTCTATTGATAAAGACCAGCCTTGTCTATTGAAAAAGACCAGCCTTGTCTATTGATAAAGACTAACCTTGTCTATTGATAAAGACCAGCCTTGTCTATTGATGAAGACCAGCCTTGTCTATTGACGAAGACCAGCCTTGTCTATTGATAAAGACCAGCCTGTCTATTCATAAAGACCAGCCTTGTCTATTGATAAAGACCAGCCTTGTTATTGATAAGACCAGCCTTGTCTATTGAAAAAGACCAGCCTTGTCTATTGATAAAGACTAACCTTGTCTATTGATAAAGACCAGCCTTGTCTATTCATAAAGACCAGCCTTGTCTATTGATAAAGACCAGCCTTGTCTATTGATAAAGACCAGCCTTGTCTATTCATAAAGACCAGCCTTGTCTATTGATAAAGACCAGCCTTGTCTATTGATAAAGACCAGCCTTGTCTATTGATAAAGCTAGTAAGAGTCTTTGTTTCACCATGTGCACTAGAGGAAATACTCCGCAATCACCCCTCTGACTGGGCTACACCGGGTTAAGTTTAGGGTTAGGGAAAATAGGATTTTGAATGGGAATGAATTGTGTGTACAAGACTGTGTGTGTGTGTGTGTGTGTGTGTGTGTGTAATGCACCAATGGTATATTGTGATGCAGGTTTCTTGCCAACAGTCAAGCAGGTGGCAGAGTTGTTTTTCTCCTCTGAATAAACTGTCCTTCACTTCTGAATGGGAGACACCATTAATGTCTGTTCTAGGGACTCTGATAAGAGGAGTTTGAACTAGCCTGTACTTATAATACATGTCAGCTTGTATTAAGTTGACACAGGATGCATCATATAGATGTGCAAGTTGTGTATAACCTTGGAAGACTCAATCTCAATCAATGGGATTGAAATGTTGCATATTCATAATATGTATTTGCAAATGCAGTGTGCAGAAGTTCCTTCTCAACATTCTACCATAGAAGAGAAACAACAACGTTTTTAAAGATATATATTACGGTTTTTATTCCATTAATTAAATGTTAATGGCATAGAAAAGTTCCCCACAGCAACATCAACATAAAGGGTTCAACCAGCGAAGCGAGGTGTACATCATAAAGGGTTCAACCAGCGAAGCGAGGTGTACATCAAAAAGGGTTCAACCAGCGAAGCGAGGTGTACATCATAAAGGGTTCACTAAACCATGCAGGTTGGTATATATAGGCTCATGTTAGAAAAAATCTTTGGCATCATTTTTCACATCAATAAAATACTAAAAATGAAATAATATACAAAATATATTAAACTTATTTTCTCAGTTCAAAACAACAACTTTATGTAAACAAAGTCCAATTAATAGTGAAAAGGGGTATTCATCAAAAAGCAATGGGTTCTAACACAGAGCATATGACCAGCAAATGCACTTTGAGAGAGATAAGATCATAACAACCAAAAGTAGCATTTGAAGGTAGTGAAGTACTGTGGAGTTGGAATACAATACGGACTCTTCTCACATTCCAGTCAACAACAATCATTCAGACTCCTGCTCTGACTGACACACACAGAGAGAGAGAGAGAACTAACTGGTATCAACACATGTCACCATCCCAATAGATGCAGGCTGAAGTTTAAATTAAAGGACACACACACACAAACATGTAAAAGACATTTTAAGACCCTCAGAAATGTGAGATCCTCAAGCAAGGAGGGGGACAACAGCGTACTTAAACATAACTCTGGGTTATTTTAGCATGATCAACAAATAGAATAGATGCAAGGCAAATATGGATGGCTAGCTCTCTGTTTCCATGGACATGTTGCCGTATATAACTAGTCATCGATTTAGAAGACGCTCAGATGCTCCTGGTAGAAACCAGCTACCATGGAGCCTTGGCGGAAATAAATAGACTGGAAAAACAGAATAGATCCTCAGAATGCATGCCATGTTAACAGGGTGAGGGGTCAGACTCTAGATAGCCGTATTATTGGACCGGGTGTGAGAGTGGGAGCATTCCATCAGGATGGAATGGCTGCCGATTAGCCACGGCTTGTCAGCTCGGGGTGGGGTGGGGGGACAGCGGCATTCTGGGTAGTGGCTGTCTGGGACCCGTCTGTGATCTAAATGGCACCCTACTCCCTATGTCATCAGGGTTCCCCAATTTTATTTATTTATTGTTGGACTGTAAAAACACCAGCAAATCAGCTCCAAGTGATATTAATTAGGGTAAATCTGTTCCAAAGTATTGCCACGCATAATAGAAGGATATATCTGATCTATACTAATGTAAGCAAGGTTTTAAATGATCATGTTTTAATCAAATGGGGGGGGGTGGGTCTTCTTGCGGTCTATTTGCAGTCTACAAATTATTTGTAATTATGTTGCGACCCCCCCCCCCCCCCCCCACCGACCATCCGCTAAAAAATTAATACAAAAATACAAAAGGCCCGCAGCTGAATCTAGTTGATTATTTTTAGTGCACTAATTTTAACCAGGGCACAGGCCACTACATGGGGAATAGGGTGCAATTTGGGACACAGTCCCGGCGTCTCAGACATCAAGCCCAGTGCTGTGAACGGCAGCCTCTCCTCTTCTCATCCTCTGTTTCTTAGAGAGGATGAGCAACCAGACAGACAGACAGACAGACAGACAGACAGACAGACAGACACGCCATCCTCCGTTCCTCCACCCTCCAGTCTAAACAAGGCCCATTCCCATTCCTGTGTTAAAGCTGGGAGGGCGCAGGGCCTCGACATACAGGCTATAATATGTAGGGAAAGGAGAGTGCCGACTGCATAGTTTAATTTAGGCTTGGGAATGCAGAAGTTGGGTTGGTTGGTATTTACGGTACTTACAACTGACTTCACTAAGCACACGTATTAGTATCACAACATAACGGGAAGGAGATGTATAATCATAGAACAAGCCAAAGTAGCCGTGGGATAGTTATGTCGTTTTTTTCCAGGAATTATGGATCATTTGACTTGGCATGCTGAGCTCAAAGTAGCTGACACACAGTCTGTCCATAAGGGAAACAGATATGCAATATGAATAGAAGTGAATAAATCAGCAGGGGTGGAGAAAGACAGACAGACAGACAGACAGACATTTAGACAGACATTTAGACAGACAGACAGACATTTAGACAGACAGACAGACATTTAGACAGCTTTCTTAAAGGCCAAACAACACACAACTCTTCACACAAACACATCACGTCACACTATGAGCAGCACTTAAATAAGAATATAAATACATCAAATAAAAAACACGAATTACATACAAATATAATATAAATGCAGTACACAGTCTGATTGATATCTCAGGTTGGTCTGAGTACCTCGGAGGCTTCAGATGGAGACTGGCGTAGTTGCACCTGGCCGGGCCAATAAGGTTCTTCTTCACTTTTCTAAGTGTAGAGAGAGAAACAGTCAAGTGGAGCACAGCTCTCCTCTCTGTCTGCTACACGCTTCCTGTTGCTTCTGGATTCTTTTCTCAGGTAGGTAGGTAGGTAGGTAGGTAGGTAGGTAGGTAGGTAGGTAGGTAGGTAGGTAGGTAGGTAGGTAGGTAGGTAGGTAGGTAGGTAGGTAGGTAGGGAGGTAGGTAGGTAGGTAGGGAGGTAGGTAGGTAGGTAGGTAGGTAGATAGGTAGGTAGGTAGGTAGGTAGGTAGGTAGGGAGGTAGGTAGGTAGGTAGGTAGGTAGGTGGGTAGGTGGGCGGGCAGGTAGGTAGATTGGTAGGAAGCTAGGTAGAAATGTAGGTAGGAAGGTACTGTATGAAGGTAGGTAGGTAGGAAGCACATGTCCATTACTCCAAACCCGTCTCCAAACTGTCCGTCTGTCTTCAAAAGGAAGTGTCCTTCTGTTCATCTGGAGGCCAGTCTGACCAGAGACAGGCAGGTAGTCTTCTCCTTGCTGGGAGGGACATACGGGACAGGAAGGTCTCTCGGTCGTCAACCGTGTTATCACTGTCCATCCACAGTGAATCCCCAAGTTCAGTTATCTGAACTGTAGTCAGAGTTCAATGTTTGTTAAATAAGGATTTCTACCACGTCTGCTGCAGTGTCTGAACTGCTGGGGGGATCCACTGTGAGGTCAGCCTCTTCGGCTGGAATATCACCATCACACTGGCTGCTGCAGTCCCTGCTCTGGGGCTTGGAGTGGGGGAGAGGCAGGGCCAGGGGGGCACGGGGGTGTTGGTGGGGGGGCCGGGAGAGAGGAGACGCTGCAGCAGCCGTCTGGTCATCAGAGAGGCTCTTTCCTACAACACACAGACAACAAGAGGAAGCTGGTTAATTACCAGATCACAGACAACAAGAGGAAGCTGGTTAATTACCAGATCACAGACAACAAGAGGAAGCTGGTTAATTACCAGATCACAGACAACAAGAGGAAGCTGGTTAATTACCAGATCACAGACAACAAGAGGAAGCTGGTTAATTACCAGATCACAGACAACAAGAGGAAGCTGGTTAATTACCAGATCACAGACAACAAGAGGAAGCTGGTTAATTACCAGATCACAGACAACAACAGGAAGCTGGTTAATTAACATCTGTTCTGTGAGATCCTCTGCCACGTCTATTCCAGAGCGTCTATGCCGGAGAGGAGAAGACATGCATTCTGTTACTAAAAGATGCAGTCGTCTATTTGAGGAATGTCCCTCACTGGGTCCTCTCCCCAACAGTCTTTTTTTTTTAAAGAAGTGTAACATTCTGCCTGGCGACACTGAGCACTAAGCAGCCGCCAGTTGTCTCTTGAGTTAATAGCATGGGGCTGTTTTAGATCTGACATTCCTCCAGGCGTTATGACCTGTGACCCCCAGAAGACTAAAAAGAAGGAGAAGACAGCTATGTCATAATTCTCCAGATTTTTCAGGAAGTAGCTATATCTGCACTGAATTCTTGGCTCCTACGTGAACCTCCTGATCATCTCTGTCTTCTCCTACTGTTGCGTCCCAAATGTCCCCCTATGCCCTACATAGTACACTACTTTTGACTAGAGATCTATGGGCCTAATGACAGAAGTAGTGAACTATAGGGTACCATTTGGGACGTAGACTTAGACCCAGACCTGGGCCACTGCGCTCACCTTTTCCCCAGATGGGTCGCTCCACTGGGCCGTTGATGGAGGTCGAGCCGTTGGCCTCGGTGCTGACGGAGGGGACGGACCTGGCAGGGCGGAGGGCCTGCTGCTCTAGCCTGATCTGCTCCCGTTGGGACCGCTGCTGTAACACCCTGATCACTGCATCCTTCTCCAGGAGCTGGGAGTGCAGCGCTCGGATTCTATAAACCCACAGACATGTCGCAGATTAAAGTACACACACAGAGATTGCATAGATGTAACTACCAACGTATACCAATTGGTCAGGAGAAAGGGCCATCTATGTAAGATGTACGAACCTATTCTCCATCTCCTGATGTCTGCGGCTGGATGGCAGGTGGTCGTTGAAGCTGCTGTTGGGTGAGTGGCGAGGGGAGCGTTTGATGACGTTGGCGTCTCTCTGAGCCGCAGCGGTAGCGGCTGCGTCCATAGCGAACTGCCTCATGGTGCTCTCCTCCAGGTACTTCTGTTCCCAGCGTGTGATGTCGGCCTCCAGAGCCAGGATCCTCTCCTCTCCTTCAGCCAGCTGCAGCTGTACGGACACCGTGGAGCTCAGATCAGAGGGCGGGGAGCCGGGGCCGCTAGCCGTGCTGTGAGACTGACACCACGGAATGAGAAGGGAAGGAAAGGGTTGGTTGGAAAAGGGTCATGGTTGAATGTTTCAAACATGCAGCAGTGGTCTTGTTTTTGTAAGACTGTGTTTATACTACAGCCTTGGGGTTTGTCAAATATGACATGTCAATGTGGATCATGAGGTAGCACTTTAAGTGCAAAGAATTCTGTGTGTGTGTGTGTGTGTATGTGTGTGTGCGTGTGTGTGTGTATGTGTAGTGTGGTGTGGTGTGTGGTGTGTGTGGGGTGGGGGTGGTGTATATGTGTGCGTGCGTGTGTGTATATGTGTAGGTGTGTGCATAAGCATGGTTGAGGGGGGCGGACGAGTGGAATGCGAAGAGCCCGTCGTGAGAGAAGAGACCCCCGAAAAGCGAGCGCAAAAATGAAACCTCACCTCTCCCTCTCCTCTCCTCTCCTCTCCTCTCCTCTCCTCCCTCTCCTCTCCTCTCCTCTCCTCTCCTCTCCTCTCCTCTCCTCCTCCTCCCCTCCATCTCCTGATCTATCCTGCTCACCTGTGCTGCTCGGAGTTCTTCAGCTCCTGCTCCAGCCTGGTCCTCAGCCTCAGTTCCAGGGCCTCTCTCTTCTCACAGGCCGCCTGTAGCTGTCCCAGGGCACTCTGCAGCCGCTCTACCTTCTCTACGTACGCCCTCTTCCTACCCCAGCTCCTCCCCCAGGGCCAGGTTACGGGCCTGTGCCGACCCCAGGGCCAGCTCCAGAACCTCCCGGCGCCGGAGCCACTCCTCCCCGGAACCACGCAGACGTTGCACCTCCCGCTGCTGCTGTTCATCTAGGAGAGAGACAGAAAAGAGGAGAGGAAATGGTTAGAAATGTTCAGGTGAGAGCGGCTGCTACATGATCTCTCAGTGAGTAGAACTCAGAACCCCCCCTCCCAGAGTTCCTTCATTGGAATCCATGAAAGTTACTCACTTAGTCCCTTTAATGGATTCTAAGAATCTAAAAGAGAGTTCCACTTCACATTGTAAGTACTGTGAACTCTAAGGGAGGTGGAGGCGTTAATCTTTTCTCCAACACCGGGGGGGTTGGGGGGGGGGTCTGAGGTTAATGCCTAAGGAATGCACTTGTTGTAGTTGTCGTAAACAGGGTCAATCAGTCCAACATCTCTGTTATAGACTGTCATTCCAAAGCCATCCAAATAGTCGAACACCAACTCTAATGTCCCCTCAGCTACATATTAAGAGCCAATACTATATCCCAGAGAAGAGGACATACCTAGAAAGAACTGTACCCTAACCTCCTTTAAAACTGTCACAGTTACACAACCCAAGAGCAACATGTATAGGTTAACATATATGTATAGGTTAACATGTTGCAACATGTCCCACCACAGGTTTTTTCACATGCAGCTCTGTTTCTGTTGTGGCTTCAAATCTCATATAAGCCAAAACGCAGTTAACACCTTCTCCAACCCCACCGACTGACATTTAACGTTGAATATGAACATTCCTCAGAGGGTAATCATTGCTCCTGGAGGCCAACAGGCAAGGTAGCGTGACTGTTCAACCTGTCACATAACTACTGACTAAGGACCACTTTGAGCTGATTTAAAAAACGTAATTTCCCCAATACAAATACCAAGTTCACTAAATAATAGTTGTGAAGTTTTACCCCAACAATGAGTAGCAGGGCAGTGGCAGTGGCAGTTCCCCTTGCCAAAGGCTGGACAATAACAGCATGAGAGTTGGCTAAACCTTATCCACAACTGACCACTCATGACGTCACATACTGAGGTAAAGAAATGAACCAAAGATGGAGAGATGCAGTATCTGTCCAGGGGTCAGCGTGCTGTGAGTGGCCAGCAGAGGGGGCATTCCCAGAGAACTGAACAGCCTGAAATGCCCCCCGTGACTGTTTCACAAAAGAGATCTGAAAACGGCCAGCGTGACTGTTTCACAAAAGAGATCTGAAAACGATCCCCCTTGCCCAGTGCAGTTCCTCTACAGAAAGTCTACAAGAAGAAAGACACTGTTTCCTCATTCCCCTCTCTCGTGTTGGGGAGGCATCCGATGTTGACTTACTTTGTTCGACGAGCTTGGCGAAGACATGCTGCTTCTGGTCGTCGGATTCAACATCCTTGGCTACTTGCTGTTTTGTAGCTGTGTTCAGACGATCTACAGGTCAGAGAGAGAGGGAGGGAAATCAATTATGATCTACTATTACTTCATGTGGGGAGAACCATACTTAAACCACAAAGACTCCTGCTCCTGGTTATTAATAAAAAACAGGTAGCTAGTGAAGTCTTTAGCTCTATTTATGCAGGTAAGTCCATTAAAAACAGATTATTGTTTGACTAGCTTTGTTAGCATTAGCATCTAGCTGCTGGTAGCCTTTACCTCTGAGGTCTCTGTTGAAGTCGTGTAGTCTCTTGATCTCTGACTCCAGTTTGTTCCTCATGGTTTTCTCCAGCGTCTCTCTCTTGGCTGAGCCCTTCATCAGGGTGTCGTAGGCCTCAGATATCCTCTGGATCTCCACTTCCAGCTGGGAGGAAACACACAAGAGGATACTGTCAGTCTGAGGGTCTCTACCTTAAAACACAGCTCATCCCCACCAGTGGTCACATTTTGAGGGGCTTTTTTTGGGCCAGGCCTCAGAGGTGGAAACACAAAAGCCTGAAAACTCTGGTCCAAAGTCCGACAGCGGAAAAGTGGCATTAAAAAAGAGGGGGATTTAAGACCTGACTCCAAAGAGATCCATGGTCTCACAAGACTGTGATGTCATACTGAATGTATGAGACATATGAATTGCTTGTCTGGCCTGTTCATTATGTAGATACTGCAGTATGCCCACAAGCAAATGCCTAACACTCTGCTCTTAAAGAGAAGTGGGAATCCACATTCCTGAATGAGCAGTTATGGGTCCCCAGTTATGGGTCCCCAGTTATGGGTCCCAGGAGTGTGAGCTTTCATCTCTCCTCATGGCATTCTGCCAACGTGGAGGAGCAACAGGAGGAGGAGGAGGAGAAGGAGGAAGAGGAGGAGGGGAAGGAGGAAGAGGAGCAGGAGGAGGAGCAGGAGAAGGAGGAAGAGGAGCAGGAGAAGGAGGAGCAGGAGAAGGAGGAAGAGGAGGAGGAGAAGGAGGAAGAGGAGGAGCAGGAGAAGGAGGAAGAGGAGCAGGAGCAGGGGAAGGAGGAAGAGGAGGAGGAGAAGGAGGAAGAGGAGGAGGAGCAGGAGGAGGAGGAAGAGGAGGAGCAGGAGGAAGAGGAGGAAGAGCAGGAGAAGGAGGAAGAGGAGGAGGAGAAGTGTTCTTGTTTCAGATTGGTAGGTCCGGCCGGCCAGCAGGAAGAGGAGGAGCAGGAGGAGGAGCCAGAGATATAGAGGACAGTCCAGTCTCTGAAACAGGAACGCTACTAGTGCTTTCAACATCATGGGTTAATAAGACACTACCAGGTAGCAAGCAGATGCATGACAACTAGTAGCAAATCAAGTGAAGGAATGTAGGCATGAGCTTCCATGTAAAGATGTTAGAGGAGTCTGAATGAAAAGACAGACTGAAGTGTCTTCTCAATGTACTTTCAGATGTGGAAATAACCTGTATATGAGTCTTTGCCTGTTACTAGCAATGAATGATTCCAAAATGAACAGAAAAGTCCCTGTGATCCGTCCACGGTGCACATTCCTGCTACAGCACAGCTAGAGGACTAATCTCGCTGATATGCAGCATTGGCAAACACACACACACACACACACACACACACACACACACACACACACACACACGTTTATACTTCCCTACCTACCTCTACACCCTCTGTGAGCCAACAGGGCTTAGAAATAAATAAATAAACGATTGATGCCTATCTAATGTAATGATACTCATAACTATTACTGTCACTAAACGACGTTCAAGGCAGTCAGACTCCTACAGTATAATGCTGTATTTTTACATTTTAGTCATTTTAGCAGACGCTCTTATCCAGAGCGACTTACAGTTAAGTGAGCGCATACATTTTCATGCTGTGTGCAATGACAGAGTCATTCAAGGTCACCATTAGGATGATTGTATGAGAACAAAAGGGTACGTCCCAAACAGAACCCTATTCCCTTTATAGTGCACTACTTTTAACCAGGGGGGGGGCATTTTGGGACGTAACCAAGGAAGTGTCCTCTCTCTCACCTTCTGAAGTCTGGCGGCCTTCTCGCTGTAGCCCTCCAGCTCTTTCCTCAGTCTCTCATTCTCCCTCAGCAGGTCCATCTGGGCGGTACTGGGGCTGCTGTGGCTCATGTAGACCTCCGGACCAGAGCGGACACTGTGGCGAGCCATCTGGGCCTGGGCAGGTTCATACCTGGGCAAAGAAGAGGAGAGGATGGAGACTTGTTAGCGACAATGCAGTTCTACATTGATATCTATAATACTTTGAAACATCGAATGAAAATGCATCATCCACGCGGATAATGGTCGTTATTGTAAAAAAAAAGAATGTGTTCTCCAATGACTTACCTGGTTAAAGAAAGGCAAAATAAATAAATAATATATTATAGAAATAATATAAATTAACTGGGAACCCATAATTCATATTGGCTTGTCTTGTGTGTGTGTTCTCTTTACCTGTGCTGTGAGTTGAATGGGGGAGGAGGTTCCTGGTAGTAGAGTCCGTTTATCTCCTGTGAGTGGCTGAGCATGTATCCAGGAGGCCTGACCAGAAAGGGGTAGTCCGGGGGAGGTCCCCTCTGAACGGGGTACTGGAGAGACTCTGGTCCCTGGTGGTCAACAGGCCCACAGTGGCCATTGGAAAGCTGTGGGTAACTCTGAGTGGAGCTGAGGGGCAGACTGTCTCTGGATCCACATGATCCACCATTCCTCTCCAGCGAGAGCTGCATAAGCCGTTCACTGAGGGAGCGGGCGTGCTCCCGTTTCAGGTCCCACTGGCCCTCTCCTCCTCCCTGGTGATCCATCACCTCCAGACCCAGACCAAGCTGAGGCTGACCCCGCTGAGCCTCTACCGAGGCCAGGTACTGAGAGTGGGCCTTGGCCTCCTCATAGGTGGGCAGCTCCTCTCCGTGTCTGTGGAGCTGGTAGAGGCGACACACGGAGGAGTCACTCTCACAGTGGTTGTAGTCCCCCTGGTGCTCCTGGCCCTGGGGATCCTGTCTGGTGGACATGTGGAGGAACTGGGACTCCTCCTGGGTCAGGCTCTCCAGGGAGGAGCGGGGGGATCCGGTACCCCCTCCTCCTCCGCTGCTGTTGCTGCCTCCACGCAGGGCCTGCTGCTGGATGGACAGGAGGGTGCTGGTGTCTGTGAGGTTCCCGTAGCGGAGCTGCTCCTGGATGAGACGGTGCAGGACCGTGCCAGAAGACTCCTCGGCAGTTCTCATCTCAGTCAATCAGAGAATAAATAAGTGACGGGTTGTGTTGAACTTGGTGGTTTGGATTATTAGTAAACCACAGATCTAGACAGAGGAGCAGTAACAGAATTAGTTAAATCAAATACAACAACTTAACTTAAAGCCTTATAATGCTTTATGATGGCGTTTTTAATTAAGACTTAAGCATGTATTACCCCCTTACACTATCTTATAATCATCTCATAATGACATAATGTCATCAAAAATCATACACTATACAGTGAGGGGAAAAAGTATTTGATCCCCTACTGATTTTGTACGTTTGCCCACTGACAAAGACATGATCAGTCTATAATTTTAATGGTAGGTTTATTTGAACAGTGAGAGACAGAGTAACAACAAAAAAATTCAGAAAAACGCATGTCAAAAATGTTATAAATTGATTTGCATTTTAATGAGGGAAATAAGTATTTGACCCCTCTGCAAAACATGACTTAGTACTTGGTGGCAAAACCCTTGTTGGCAATCACAGAGGTCAGATGTTTCTTGTAGTTGGCCACCAGGTTTGCACACATCTCAGGAGGGATTTTGTTCCACTCCTCTTTGCAGATCTTCTCCAAGTCATTAAGGTTTCGAGGCTGACGTTTGGCAACTCGAACCTTCAGCTCCCTCCACAGATTTTCTATGGGATTAAGGCCACTCCAGGACCTTAATGTGCTTCTTCTTGAGCCACTCCTTTGTTGCCTTGGCCGTGTGTTTTGTGTCATTGTCATGCTGGAATACCCATCCACGACCCATTTTCAATGCCCTGGCTGAGGGAAGGAGGTTCTCACCCAAGATTTGACGGTACATGGCCCCATCCATCGTCCCTTTGATGCGGTGAAGTTGTCCTGTCCACTTAGCAGAAAAACACCCCGAAGCAAAACGTTTCCACCTCCATGTTTGACGGTGGGGATGGTGTTATTGGGGTCATAGGCAGCATTCCTCCTCCTCCAAACACGGCGAGTTGAGTTGATGCCAAAGAGCTCGATTTTGGTCTCATCTGACCACAACACTTTCACCCAGTTCTCCTCTGAATCATTCAGATGTTCATTGGCAAATATCAGACGGGCCTGTATATGTGCTTTCTTGAGCAGGGGGCCCATGCGGGCGCTGCAGGATTTCAGTCCTTCACGGCGTAGTGTGTTACCAATTGTTTTCTTGGTGACTATGGTCCCAGCTGCCTTGAGATCATTGACAAGATCCTCACGTGTAGTTCTGGGCTGATTCCTCACCGTTCTCATGATCATTGCAACTCCACGATGTGAGATCTTGCATGGAGCCCCAGGCCGAGGGAGATTGACAGTTATTTTGTGTTTCTTCCATTTGCGAATAATCGCACAAACTGTTGTCACCTTCTCACCAAGCTGCTTGGCGATGGTCTTGTAGCCCATTCCAGCCTTGTGTAGGTCTACAATCTTGTCCCTGACATCCTTGGAGAGTTCTTTGGTCTTGGCCATGGTGGAGAGTTTGGAATCTGATTGATTGATTGCTTCTGTGGACAGGTGTCTTTTATACAGGTAACAAACTGAGATTCGGAGCACTCCCTTTAAGAGTGCGCTCCTAATCTCAGCTCGTTACCTGTATAAAAGACACCTGGGAGCCAGAAATATTTCTGATTGAGAGGGGGTCAAATACGTATTTCCCTCATTAAAATGCAAATCAATTTATAACATTTTTGACATGCGTTTTTCTGGATTTTTGTTGTTGTTATTCTGTCTCTCACTGTTCAAATAAACCTACCATTAAAATTATAGACTGATCATTTCTTTGTCAGTGGGCAAACGTACAAAATCAGCAGGGGATCAAATACTTTTGTATATACAGTGAGGGAAAAAAGTATGTGGACACCCCTTCAAATTAGTCGGACCGCAGAGTGAAGGAAAAGCAGCCAACAAGTGCTCAGCATATGTGGGAACTCCTTCAAGACTGTTGGAAAAACATTCCAGGTGAAGCTGGTTGAGAGAATGCCAAAAGTGTGCAAAGCTGTCATCAAGGCAAAGGATGGCTGCTTTGAAGATATATATTTTGATTTGTTTAACACTTTTTGGTTTACTACATGATTCCATATGTGTTATTTCATAGTTTTCATGTCTTCACTATTATTCTACAATGTAGAAAATAGTAAAAAAAAAATAAAGAAAAACCCTTGAATGAGTAGGTGTGTCCAAATTTTTGACTGGTACTGTAATTTAATTGCCAAAGCTAGCTAGTTGATGTTAATTGTTGCTTGCCAAGCAATGCGTTGCTTGCTAGCTAGCTAGCTTTATAGTGAGTGCTGGGTTTCTCTGATAGCAATATAGCTAGAACTGGCTAGCTAGATTATTTCTAGCTAAAAAATAATCATGTTTGTCCCTGCAGTGGATTGTTCTGGTCTGGAGCCTCAACTGGACAGACCCCAGCCAATGTAAGTTAATATTTTGTATCATTTAGCTAGCTAGTTCCTAAACATTAACCCCTTATTCTTAATCTTGGAATTGTTTCACTGACTCTCTGTCTCTGCATTATTCACAGGGTAACTGTCAACTTGTGAGTCTGAAAATGGACACCAGAGGTCAAGGAATCTGCATGGTAAGTATCAATTAGATTTTCATGAACATGAACCCCTAATTATATATATTGTTTGGAATTGTTTCACTGACTCTCTGTGTAGGCATTATCCACAGGGTAACTGTCAACTTGTGAGTCTGAAAATGGACACTGGAGGTTAAGGATTCTGCATTGTAAGTATAAATTTGATGTTCATGAACATTCGCCACGACCCTATTAGGTTGGGCTAACGGATTTGGTCGGGGTGCATTGTAGCTAAGCCTTACCCTAACCCTTTTCCTAACCTTAACGTAATTATTCTAACCTACCACATCAATTCACTTATCCTGGAACGTTAATTCACCTAACCTGCCAATTTAGTTATCCTAACCCGTAATTCACCTAACCTGCAACTGGCGCCGCCGGAACCGTTGCTAACAGTGGAGGCCGACCAAATCAGAAAGCCCAACCTCATTGGGTAGTCACACATTAACCACTAATTCTTCATCTTGTGTGGATTTTTCTTCACTGACTTTCTGTCGCATCATCCTCAGGGTAACTGTCAACTTTTTTTTAAGATCTTCTTTTCAAATGGGGTTGATAAGTGCACAGAGATAGTTTGTACATTATATTTTGTTTTTCAGATGCGACCTTCCAGTGACTTTCTGAGCTCAAAAAGGGAAGCAATACATTTTTAAGTGCTAATTGTTTTTTTGTTTTTTCTATTGCATTAGACATGCATTTAATTACATTTCTTACACGTATATCACCATATATTATGAAGTATGTATTACTCATATATAAAAATATGTATTATTCATATATAAATATATTGACCATAAATAATCATGCATACTGTTAAAAATATTTTAAACAAATACATGTATATATATGAATAGCACATGTATGTAAAATGCATACTACCACATATGGATAAGCAACACATACAAATATATTTACATATATCAACAATATTCACAAATATAAAAAAAAAAAAAAAAAACGTCCAAAATCAAATATGTTGATTTTTTATGAAATATATATGTGACATATATTTAGATATATTTATTTCAAATATTAGTACATTTATTCCATATTTGAAATCTATGTCAATATATTAGGCTTTGGTAAGGAAAATTCCATCTAAATTCCGTTTAGGGTAGATGAGGTTCTCTGTAGCTCAATTGGTAGAGCATAGCGCTTGTAACGCCAGGGTAGTGGGTTCGATCCCCGGCACCACCTATACGTAAAAATGTATGCACACATGACTGTAAGTCGCTTTTAAGCGTCTGCTAAATGGCTTATTATTATTATGTAATTGGGAAGAAATTACTTCAGCATAAATGGGGGCGGCAGGTAGTTTAGTGGTTAAGAGCGTTGTGCCAGTAACCGAAAGGTCGCTGGTTCTAATCCCCGAGCCGACTAGGTGAAAAATCTGTCGATGTGCCCTTGAGCAAGGCACTTAACCCTAATTGCTCTGGATAAGAGCGTCTGCTAAATGACCAATTATAAATGCAAGCATACCACACGCTCTGAATAGCATGGGCCTATATTAGCAGGTAATTTCATACATTACTATACATTATTTTTAAAAGCCCAAAAACCCCGAAGTATTGCAGTTAAGTGGTTTATTTGTGGGGCGATTGGATATTATTATATTGAGTCAGTCATTTCCTGCTGCAAGCTTTGCAGATTCCAAACAATTGGCCATCTAGTCTTTTTCTTTCCAGAACACGTTAATGACAGATATCAGGCCACGCATTCATTGAGGCTATTTGTTGAGATAAAAATGTGTGTTTACTATACAATCTAAATGGTCTGTATGCGTGTATATGTATAAATATAACTACTCTATAGCCTCTATGGGGAACACACATAGCCACAATTAATAGAGCATGGGCTAAACTGCTGCCTCCACATGTCTGATAACGTTCCTGTGTCAACTAGGAAAATAAAAACATATAGCCCAATAAAACAATTCATACTCAGTGCCAATAAAGTGCAGATAAAGTCTCTATTGTCTACAGCGGCTCCCTAGACAGACATGATCACAGACCAAACCGATATTCCAACGGATTATATATAATAATATAATATATATACTAACTGGAAGTCGCTCTGGATAAGAGCGTCTGCTAAATGACTAAAATGTAAAAATGTGTGTGTGTGTGTAATTATGAATTAAAATGCAATTATTATAACACCAAAATAACATATGGATAGATTGTAAGAAAGAAGGCTAGTTAAAGTTAGAAGGAACAAACCATAATTTTGCGCCTATAATAATACTTCGAAAGACCTATCCACCATGTGTAAAGCAACTAATTTCAAAAAGCAGCAAAACTATAATCTTACCAATTTACATTCTCATCAAGGAAACAAGTTGTCGACGCCGTAGGCCTGTATTGTTTATATTTGTCCTAATAGAACTTCGTGGAACTGGAAAGTATAAATTCGTATCCTGAGTATACGTTCCTCTGAGAGAGCGCAATGCTACGGTGTGCCTCGTCTGAGAACGCTTTCACAACAGACTGAGCCTG